ATGCTTAAAGCAATATGATGAACTTTGTGATTTTTAAACTACAGACACTTGACTGTGCAGAATAACTTGTACCAGGAAATGCAGCCTGTAATGCTGTTGTTAGATTTATATTAAGATGTGAATCCTGTGTTATGTGGTCAGATAATTTATTCGGTGGGCCTGACCTTCTTTTACAGATATTTATCGTATCGAATAAAACAAACCTTACCAACTTTGTCTTAAAGTTGTGATTCGTATTCGGTCAGTGTAAAACGCAGACTGCGGATAGCCTGCGTAGCTGGCGGTATTGTGTGGGTGCGAGATTAAAGTTTTGGCGGCGGAGCCGTGTTCCAGAAAAAGGGAGTAGGGACGAGGCGGTTGAACGCGGCTTCGCCGCTCGGGATTGCTCCGCCGTCAAATCTCACTCGACTACTACACAATACCGCCAGCTACGCAGGCTAACTGCGGACCTGGGGTAAAATGCAGACTGAGTGTAAAATGAAGACTACAGACTGAGAGTAAAACGCAGGCTGGGGTAAAATGCAGACCGAGCATAAACTGTAGTCGCCGAAGGGTTTAAGGGCAAATAAAATCCCGCAAACTACATGTAAACAAACACTTACTTGACGACATATATCTGCTATTACAAATCCATCCATTCTTCCCTGGAACTTCGTCGACTACCCAAAAACATACTCGCAATCTTGAACCTCTTTTCCCGTCCGAGCAGGGATAATAGATAGACTTTTATTCTTTCTATTATCCATTGTCCGAGAGACCTCACGCTTCAGTTTTCGATACACGTGACCGGGAATTGGTACAACACGATGTTTACGCTTAAATGAAAGCTGCTGACACAAAATACTGTACAGAAAGAATTATGGCGATAAAAATGGGAGTAAATCATTCCAACAACAAAGAAAGATGTTCTGCAGGAAATTTGGATGACCTTATGTGGAAGTATGGCAAATCAAGGTACGCGGACGTAATTTGTTCGGATGTTCATCGAAACTTCTGGCGAATGTGCAATGTACTTCGACAAGGAAGCGAAGTGTGTAACTGATACCAGCTCGCTAATTCCAGGTGTAATTCACCTAGCTTGCAAAGCAGGCGTATTTTGCTGTGCTATCGATTTGGACTTTCGACTGACCGGGAGTTGGGGCGAGTCACAAAATGATTCAATACAATAAAACGCCTGCTCTGCAGGCTATAATTCACCTATTTCGAGAAGAAGGAGCACAAATGTTTAAAAAGTCTGCAGTCGATCTTAATTCTGCATTTTACCCCTAGCCTGCATTTTACTCTCAGTGTGCAGTCTGCATTTTATAGTCTGTGTTTCACCTGACCGGATTCGTATTTAACTGCGCCTTTCAAAAAACACGCGAATTATGAAGTTCCAAAGCCAACTGACATTTGCGTTCTTCGCTACCGTCAATCATCTTAGTGGAACTCTTGGGAAACAGAAGTTTACTTTAACATGTTCAAAAGGTAATAATTCGTGATTGTTGGATTTCGAGTGGTTTTCTGTTTGTCAAGGTCCGTTCCTTGTTATCGTAATTATGATAGAGGGCAGCGAAAAACACAATTGTGAAGGCGGCTTTTGAACTTCAGAGTTGGCGTGTTTTTGAAAAGCGCAGTAAGTCACATTCATGATGGTAACTAAACTGACTGAGTGGCGTGCAATTTGGCTGTAATCGTGAAGGGAACAGTCTGGTTGTTTTGTGGGGAAAATGGGGTTGATGTTAGTCTGCAAATGAGCTCAGGGGCACCTTGTTGTAGTGATGGACTGTCTGGTATTTGTTTACTTATTCCCTTCATATTTTAATTTTCAGCAACACCAACATCCAATATTTTGCATAATTTTTAACATTTCTCTTCCCCCCTAACCCCCAGAGAGAATTTTATTTATTTAAAACATTCGGAAAATCCAAGAGTTCTCACATTTATTGAACCAATGACTACGAGCTTATGGCCCCGGCCCGTGCAAACGGACGAAACATTGTTGGACCAACGATGATGGGAGTTGTTGCGTCCGTTTGCCCGTAGCCTACGGAACCATTTTTTGATTGAATGATATCTTGGCTAGATTTGGACGAAAAAGGCAGAAATAAACGGAAATAAGGCTTTTGACCAGAAGAGGTTCAATTTGCATTTTTATCGCCCAAATACAGGACTTAGTGCCGAAATTTTATTGATTCAGGGGCCGGATTGTTAAAAAAAGGGCGCCGGAAACACTGTTAAGTCTCATTTTGTACGTAGAACAGATATGGTGAGATTCAGACCAGACGCGATTGAGAGAAAGCATTAGTCCGAGTGGTGAATAAATCTGTTGAGAGCCAATGATTTTAAAGAGAAACCCATCGTGTACAAGCTCGACTCGATAGGTTCCTCGCATTCTTTGGTTTATTAGGGTCTGTGCAATAATTACCAGCGAGCGGGAGTGGGGGGGCGGGGTGTAGAAACTAGAAGGGGAGACACCATGTAAAATCATAGCTCAAAAGCGGTTGGTTTCTAGTTTTCTTGTTGGCAAGCTGTCTCACAACTTTGGGGGTGATTTGATATCAACAATACATGATTTATACATGATCAAAATATAACTAAAAGGTAGCAATAATTAGCACCAAAGCCATGAATAATTCTGGTTACATGATATTTCAACATATTTCTACTTAACAGAACAGCAATGTGTCCAGGGTTTTAAAGAGGGAGTGTCTCGTTTAATGAGACAAAGGTAACAAACAGCTGTTGTGTCCCTCTGATAGTAATTACGTTTTTAAAAATGTAAAGACATTTTCAGCCAAAAAGGAGCGCCAGGTGAACCTCAGCAAACATGAAAATTGTGCGAATAGCAGCATACGAGGATGCCTCCCCTGTTCGATCACATGACAAAAATGACGAAAACATGACGCTAAAAGAGATCGAGGAGGGGAAGAGAGACTAGTAGCTCGCGTTCTGAGTTTTGTTCGTGCTTGTCATGACTCAACCAGGGCTGGGTTGTTCAAAGAAGGGTTAAGTTAACCCAGGGTTAGTGCGAAATTTGATTTCACTGGCCTATGAAAGCTTGAGAAGCAAATTCAGTTTTATTCTTTCTGCCAACAATTTGATGATTGGATGCTCTAAAAAGAAGAGAGGAAATTACCCTGGAAAATACTTTTGAACAAAAGAAAAAGAAACCCGGGTTAAAATTTAACCCTGGATTAGCGCTAATCGGCCTTCGAACAACTGAGCCCTGAACTGAATCGAGGGTAATGACGCAATTGACTTAAAACTTGAATCAAGTGATTCACGGGAGAATTTAAAAGACGATGCGCAATCGGACTGTTCTGAAATGGGTGTCTCACTACCTCACTGCCTAGTTTTAAGCAGGAACCTTTATCCAGCCTGGTTTTGAGATAATGTTCCAGATGCAGCCGTCAAAAAACGTTATAATACAACATAAGGAGAGAACCTGTAAATGTAAGTCGAGAGGGGGGGAGGGGTTGGTCATTATTCTTAAGCAACCAGGAGGGGGGTCAGAGCTAACTTGCCTTTGCTAGAAGGTGGCGCTAAGTAATATCAATCTATGTCAGGCTCATTTGTCGGCCCCCTTACACGCCCCCCCCCCCGCCCATCTTTCCTGATTGCCAACGAGCACGCTGCGAGGCGGTCAATCAATCAATCGAATCTGCGAGGCGGCCAATCAATCAATCAATCGAATCAACCAATCAACTTTATTTAAACACGGTAGATGCTCAGCAAGTTAGTTTTCAGACATGCCGTGTGATAATTACAAGTTATAAAAATTAAGACTAGTGATTAACAATAATTAACACAATAATTGGTAATTTTATCTGTTCCTATCGATTCTCATAAAAGTGACTATCTAGTTTTGTATGGTAAGCAAGACTATTAATACTGGTAAAAAAAGTAATAATTTGAAATACAATATAACAACAAGAAATGAGTCATTAAAGAAATAAGATAAAAACATAATAAAAAGTTATATCCAAGGATATTGCGAGTTTAAAACCAGTAAGATCCCCCATCTCACGTGTTTTATTTGACAGTTGGTTGCAAGCCATTGCACCCCGATAAGAAAATGAACGCTTAAGAAAATTTGTTTTAGGTAGTGGTAGATGGAGATCATAGTTAGAACCCCTCAAATTATAGTCATGAATTTCAGAGGTTCTACGAAACAATGAATACTTTAAACATCGTAACTAATAAGTGCCTTTTTTCTTCTTTCTTCTAAGTTTGACCACTCTAGAGAATTTAGTACATCTGATGATCTGATAGAGTAATCAGCCCGAGTGATAATCCGTGCTGCTCTATTCTGCAACTTTTGTAATTTGTCAGCACGTATTTTGGAGCAGTCACCCCATACAACATCACAATAGTCAAAGTAGGGCTGGACCAGTGAATAGTAAATAGTTTTAAGAGTCTCTTGATTATCGGTTAATTTTCTAGCTAAATACAGCATTTGCAAGCCACTAGAGACTTTGGATGAAATATGTTTGATCTGATTATCCCAGGTTAGCGTTTCATCAACATGCAGTAGAACAGTTTATTTCACTATTTTCCAGGTAATTTTCGCTCATACATTCGAACAGAGTCCAAACTATTTTTCGTAAATTACGGTTATTCGTGACATTTCTAAACAAACTGAACAGCGCGCGCGTATAGGTAAAATCTTTGTTCGTTGGAACTTAGCGATAGCTATGACTAGTAATTATGGCACAGTCTCTTAGTGAACCAGAATCTTGGACTGATCCCATTCTTCTCCTCGGAGCCCGCAGTCACGTGGCCTTGAGGGTTTGGGTACCTTATGTGCCGAAAAGACTCGGAGGCAGGGCGCGTCAGGTTATTCGAAGCTGGGTTGAGATAACCCAGGGTTTGTGCCTGATTTGAATTCAGATAGGAAAGCTTACAAAGCAAATTCGAAGAAATTCTTTTGTCTACAATTTGATGAAGAACAGAGAAAATTATCCGACAAAATGCTTTTAAATAACAGAAATAGAAACCAGGGTTAAAAATTAACCCCTAGTTAGCGCTAATCGGCTTTGGAACAACTGGGTTGGCGGCGTTTCTAACAGTAGAGAGATTAAGATTCACGTTTACGCCAAACGGCAAACGTGAATTTGTTCCACGTTCCACGTTCCACCAACTTTACTTTTGCAAGTTATTTATTACTTCTACCCTAAAATAAGTAGTTACAAGCCAGTTTTCTCCATTTGAATTGTTCTGGACAGTTTTTATCTGCTTATTTCTCATTCTGAGAAATTCTCAACTTGAATCTGACGTTTGCCGTTTGCCGCAAGCGTGAACCTTAATCTCTCTAATGTCTATCTTGTACTAGGTAGCAAACAAGCGCAGGAAGACAGTTTGACCGAGAAGGCCCGGGAAGACGTCATGGGACCGATGGGTGATGCATCCTTGGATGTTCTTCTCAAAGTTATATTTCGCCAAGCTGTCAACGAAAACTTGACCTTCGACCGGGGATAACCCTGGTCAAAGCGAGGGACTGAGGAGCATAAGAAGGAGCAAAGAAAGGAAGAACAGAGGGGAGGAGCGGAGAAGAAAAAGGAATCACCTTATTTGGCTAAAAGGAGACAAAAGCGACTGTTACGCAGGCTATTAGTATTGCCAATTAAGTAAATTTATAAGATCAAACAACGTGCTTTCTCTTCCCGATCGTCAGGTCAACTGCCTACAAGTTGTTTGTTTACTAATGCCAACTCACTAAGAATTCTTTCTAAATACTAATGATTATCACCGCAAATTTGTTTCCCAATCATCAGTGCTTTATCATGAAGTTCTTTGGCTTGATTGTATTCTTTTAGGCTGTAGTACACTACTGCCAAATTGTTATAACTTGTTGCTACAAGGGCATGATCTTCACCAAAAATCTTTTTGGAAATCATCAGTGTTTTTTCGTGAAGTTCTTTGGCTTGATTGTATTCTCCCAGGTTGTAGTACACTGATGCCAAGTTGTTATAACTTGTTGCTACATGGGCATGATCTTCACCAAAAGTCTTTTTGTAAATCATCAGTGCTTTTTCGTGAAGTTCTTTGGCTTGTTTGTATTCTCCCAGGCTGTTGTACACTGATGCCAAGTCGTTATAACTTCTTGCTACATCGGCATGATCTTCACCAAAAATCTTTTTGTAAATCATCAGTGCTTTTTCGTGAAGTTCTTTGGCTTGTTTGTATTCTCCCAGGCTGTTGTACACTGATGCCAAGTCGTTATAACTTCTTGCTACATCGGCATGATCTTCACCAAAAATCTTTTTGTAAATCATCAGTGCTTTTTCGTGAAGTTCTTTGGCTTGTTTGTATTCTCCCAGGCTGTTGTACACTGATGCCAAGTCGTTATAACTTCTTGCTACATCGGCATGATCTTCACCAAAAATCTTTTTGTAAATCATCAGTGCTTTTTCGTGAAGTTCTTTGGCTTGTTTGTATTCTCCCAGGCTGTTGTACACTGATGCCAAGTCGTTATAACTTCTTGCTACATCGGCATGATCTTCACCAAAAATCTTTTTGTAAATCATCAGTGCTTTTTCGTGAAGTTCTTTGGCTTGTTTGTATTCTCCCAGGCTGTTGTACACTGATGCCAAGTCGTTATAACTTCTTGCTACATCGGCATGATCTTCACCAAAAATCTTTTTGTAAATCATCAGTGCTTTTTCGTGAAGTTCTTTGGCTTGATTGTATTCTCCCAGGCTGTTGTACACTGATGCCAAGTTGTTATAACTTCTTGCTACATCGGTATGATCTTCACCAAAAGTCTTTTTGTAAATCATCAGTGCTTTTTCGTGAAGTTCTTTGGCTTGATTGTAATCTCCCAGGCTGCTGAACACTAATGCCAAGTTGTTATAACTTGTTGCTACATCGGCATGATCTTCATCAAAAATCTTTTTGTAAATCATCAGTGCCTTTTTGAGAAGTTCTTTGGCTTGATTGTATTCTCCCAGGCTGATGTACACTGATGCCAAGCCGTTATAACTTGTTGCTACATCGGCATGATTTTCACCAAAAATATTTTCGCAAATCGTCAGTGCTTTTTCGTGAAGTTCTTTGGCTTGACTGTATTCTTTCAGGCTGTAGTACACTGATGCCAAATTGTTATAACTTGTTGCTACATGGGCATGATCTTCACCAAAAATCTTTTCGCGAATCGTCAGTGCTTTTTCGTGAAGTTCTTTGGCTTGATTGTATTCTCCCAGGCTGTTGTACACTAATGCCAAGTTGTTATAACTTGTTGCTACATGGGCATGATCTTCACCAAAAGTCTCTTTGTAAATCATCAGTGCTTTTTCGTGAAGTTCTTTGGCTTGATTGTATTCTCCCAGGCTGTTGTACACTGATGCCAAGTTGTTATAACTTGTTGCTACATAGGCATTATCTTCACCAAAAATCCTTTTGGAAATCATCAGTGCTTTTTCGTAAAGTTCTTTGGCTTGATTGTAATCTCCCAGGCTGCTGAACACTGATGCCAAGTTGTTATAACTTGTTGCTACATGGGCATGATCTTCACGAAAAATCTTTTTGTAAATCATCAGTGCTTTTTCGAGAAGTTCTTTGGCTTGATTGTATTCTCCCAGGCTGATGTACACTGATGCCAAGCCGTTATAACTTGTTGCTACATCGGCGTGATCTTCACCAAAAATCTTTTTGCGAATCGTCAGTGCTTTTTCGAGAAGTCCTTTGGCTTGATTGTATTCTCCTAGGCTGTAGTACACTGATGCCAGGTTCTTATAACTTGTTGCTACAGCGGCATGATGTTCACCAAAAATCTTTTCGCGAATCGTCAGTGCTTTTTCGTGAAGTTCTTTGGCTTGATTGTATTCTCCCAGGCTGTTGTACAGTGATGCCAAGTTGCTATAACATGTTGCTACATGGGTATTATTTTCACCAAAAATCTTTTCGCTAATCGTCAGTGCTTTTTTGTGAAGTTCTTTGGCTTGACTGTATTCTTCCAAGCTGTTGTACACTGATGCCAGGTTGTTATAACTTGCTGCTACATCGGCATGATCTTCACCAAAAATCTTTTCGCGAATCGTCAGTGCTTTTTCGTGAAGTTCTTTGGCTTGATTGTATTCTCCCAAGCTGTTGTACACTGATGCCAAGTTGTTATAACTTGTTGCTACATAGGCATTATCTTCACCAAAAATGTTTTTGTAAATCATCAGTGTTTTTTCGTGAAGTTCTTTGGCTTGATTGTATTCTCCCAGGCTGTTGTACACTGATGCCAAGTTGTTACAACTTGTTGCTACATGGGCATGTTCTTCACCAAAAATCTTTTTGTAAATCATCAGTGCTTTTTCGTGAAGTTCTTTGGCTTGATTGTATTCTCCTAGGCTGTAGTACACTGATGCCAAGTTGTTATAACCTGTTGCTACATCGGCATGATCTTTACCAAAAATCTTTTTGCGAATCGTCAGTGCTTTTTCGAGAAGTTCTTTGGCTTGATTGTATTCTCCCAGGCTGTTGTACACTGATGCCAAGTGGTTATAACTTGTTGCTACATGGGTATTATCTTCACCAAAAATCTTTTTGGAAATCATCAGAGCTTTTTCGTGAAGTTCTTTTGCTTGATTGTATTCTCCCAGGCCGTCGTACACTGATGCCAGGTTGTGATAACTTGTTGCTACATTGGAATGATCTTCACCAAAACTGGAGGTCTTTTTGGAAATCATCAGTGCTTTTTTGTGATGTTCTTTGGCTTGATTGTATTCTCCCAGGCTGTTGTATACTTCGCCATTCACATTTAAAACCTCCCATTTACGAGTTAACGCACCCGTTGAAGTGTCGTCTAAGTTTCCCAGCAGATTGTGTGCTAAGTTGGCCACAGTTTTCGCAAAGACGAAATAGGAGCTTTTTTGACAGACCAAGGCGAGAGTATCTAGCCAATCAATAACTGTATCCAAATCTACGAAGGGCGCAAACCTTTCTAAAAAAGTGCTGTCATCCGAACTAAAGTTTGACGTCATCTGCTTAAGTAAAGATTCACAGTGGGGCCTCAATTTTTTACAAAACGCATAATCCTTTTCATTTTGTTTGAGTTGGGACTTGAAAATCTTAACCGCTTCTGCCATGGAGTGGTCACTCTCAAATGATTTCAGGTAAGCTAACTCGCCTCGTTTCAAAGCTTCATGCACAACTTTATGTAAACGTAAATAAGTTCGTTCACCCCCTTCTTCGGAATGAACCAGACATAAAGAAGACTTTACAATCTTTGCCTTCATTAAAACCTCTTGCTGGTCTTTTACTTGGGCTTTGACGAACTTTAAAACAGTTTCGAGTGGTAGGTCGTCGTTAGCGCAGAGCGAAAGAAAACAGAATGTATGACGAAGAACCTCCTCTGTTTCAGCAGCTCTTTGGATAGCCATTTCTACTGCGGCCATTGATGTTTTAGGGTAGGCTGAACTCTCATTAGCAAGGACACTTTCGGTCTTTTTTCGCTGGCTGTATGTTGATATGTCTTGAAGGTATGCTTTCCAGTTATAATTAGAAGACCCACTGGTCACAACAGTTTGCAGGTAATAAGCAGCAGCAGCTAAGGCCAGTGGCTGAAAATCGAAAAGTTCAGCGACATTTTCTGCTTGTACTCTCTGTACTGGCTCTGAAATTTGCGATACTGTTTCCAGCAATTCCACTGCCTCGTCCCTCCTCATTCCCTTGCTTAACGATTCATGATATGTGTGAGGAGCGTTTGGAGGAATTGTACTACTATCTTGGGTGGTAATAAGCACTTGCCCATAGCCCCATTCCTTACTGCCAGTTTGAGGAAGCAAGTCGCGGACTAAGCGTAAGTTAATCACATTGTCTGCTATTATCAACCATTTGATATACTTGCTGGTCTTCGGCAAAATCAAGCGGTGGAGCTGTTTAATTGCTTCAATAGGTTTCACTTTCTTTAAAGAATCTAAGCTTGTCAACGCGTATTCTGTTATCCCTAGGTATCTTCCAAGGGTGAGGTAAGAGTCAACAAGTGTCTCAATGCTTTCTGTGTTCAGTGTCGCAACAAAGATAAGATCATTGTTTTGTTCAGAAAAGAGCTGTTGTCCAATTTCCCGGGCAAGTTGGGTCTTGCCACATCCTGGATTACCTGACAAAAACACTGTACTGACTGCTCCGCTGGAACCATTGTAAAGTTCCTCCATTTTCTTAGTGATTCTTTCAATATCATGCGAGCGTCTAATGATAACATGTGGTGGACGCGATGCGAGAATACAAAATGACTGAAGTTTCGCACTTATTTCCTGTGTGAGAGATTTGTTTTCTTCTTTTGTAGAAACCAGGGCAGCTTTTGTACTTTGAAGAGTGCTTTTTGTCTGATCTAACTCGGCTTGGAGATCACGAGCTTGGTTCTTAATATTTTCCACTTCCTTCGTTGGAAAGGTCGTCTGGTTCTTTATTTCTTGAATCTCAGTTAAAGAAAGACCAAGGGATGTAAAAGCGTTCACCACTCTATCTACAGAAGTTTGAAAGTCGGTATCTGTCAACTTAGCCTCGGTGATATGAGCAATCTCGTTTCGTACTTGACGAATATCATCGACCTCTTTACGGACAGCTGGGCTTAAAGTGGCGCCAACGGTGTCTGAGTAGAGGATGGCAAAAAACAAACACGTGCAGTCCCACTTTGTCGTGTTACCATTGTGGATTGTTGCCAGACACCGGGCGTTTTTCTTGCGACTTGCTTTAGATTCATTGTTGAAGAAATCACGACCATTTTGTGCCGTGTCTTTCCATTCTCCAATTGACGTTGCTTTATAGAGGAAATCCCATTCGTTTTTGAAAATCTGCCGCAGTCCTACTGGAACCAAATCAAATCCTATGTAGCAGAGTCTGAAGTAGTTCAGTTGCTCTTGCGAGTATTCCATCTGACCAACTTACAATCCTGTGGGAGATATTTGTTTTTAACTTATTTTTAGTCAGGTCAAAAATAGGTGGTTTACTTATTCATATTGAATGTGAACTAGAGACCGGTGATGGACACAGGAATCGCAAAAGATTATGAAAATCTAGTAGCTGATTATAAACTCCGTTAAATAAGAGACGGCAGGCTAAGTTCACAACTTGCTTCCCTGGTGCCTTGCTCATGACGTGCTTTAAAGATTTGTTTATTTAGTTTAAGGTTCCAAGGGGTTGGGAGGGGTGGGCTGACTCCTCCTTAGTCGTCTCTATTTAGATCGCACACGTGACTGAAGGGAGAGCGGGGATTGATGGGAAAATAAAAGGGAGAGACTCTCTACTATCACCCCTGGTTCTCCCACCGCGCTTCTCTCGTTAATATTACCGTACATCCTCTATTAAGCCCCCGGGGGGCTTATTTTTTTCAAGCACTTCTGAGGGGGGGCTTAAAAGAGAGGGGGGCTTATTTAATTTAGCGAAACGCATCACGTGTAGCAAAAATACCGTGGTACGAGACAGAGTAGACTTACGCGTTGTACAATTTAAGTCACTGTCAAAAGTATTTAATTCACTTGTGGGAGCCTAAAAGTAACAAAAACAAAATTCTTATTCTTCAATAATGTGTTTTCGGCCTCATGTTTTTCGGTAATTTTGATGAGAATGGTTACTTGTATTGATTTGTCGTACACAACTTACAAAACAAAATCTCTGGAAAACTCCTCTTATATTTACATTTTTAAATGGTGACAATTCTCCACAGAGAACTAGAGCGCAAAGTTGAGAAAGTTAAGCATATGAAGTTGGAGGTCATGCGGCCGAAGACCAAAAACAATATGAACTTCCAGCCTGAATAAACCATAACTGATCAGTCAACGTTCATCGTTAATTTTTTTGTGAAGAATAAGGATTGGGGGAGGGGGGGGGGTGCTTAATAGAGAGGGGGGGTATTAACTTTCCTCCTCTGAAAAGGGGGGCTTATTTGAGAGGGGGGCTTAATAGAGGATTTACGGTAATACGAGACTGAGAGACGACTAGGGAAGTGGATCTTGTCATTCCTAAATGCTACCGCACCAGAACAGGCCGGGAGCAAGAGCACATCAAGAATATCAAAGAGCGCTTTTCTCATGTGGAAACCCTTGTTAATTAAGCAAGAAACTGAATACCAGTTAATTGGTCTATTTTGCTCTATGTCACCTTTCCTAGTATTCTGGAGTAATTGTCATGAGATGGCGTCTATTAGACAAGGGGTGTTCATTAGAGAGAGGCGTCCAATACAAACCTAAAAGCGTGTGCGAGGGGGCGGGGTGGACAACAGGCGTTAATATGAGTGGAGGTGTCTATTAGATCATAAACTGATAAGTATGTTATCATTTGATGTCAGTATCTCCTACTCCATTTTTAAAACCAACCAGTGAAAACTAAAAGTCTATTTGAATAAATGCAGTACAATAATATTTTTTGTGTTCTAGGCCGTTTCGACTAGCGCTTTAATTGAATGGCAAGTTGAGGGTAACAGATATTCTGGAAGTAATATTACTGGAGTGAAAGAAGGATAAAAAGCAAAAATGAGATAAATCCTGTTTGTTTGGAATAGCTTTTTTTCGCTATGCAAGCATTGTCAACTCCAGAGCTTCCCCCTCGCCAAAAAAAATAAGCTGGCTCTGGAGTCGAGAAGGGTAGGGTGAGGATGTCACGGGTAGCACCACTGTCCCATAGACAGGGCTAAGAGTGCGCGAAAAGAGTGTCTTAAAAAAAGTAGACGAAAATTCCTCTTATCATTTATCTCTTTCACTCCTAGACCGAGTTATCAGGGTCTGGAAGGAGGGCAGTTCCTTTTTCACGAAAATCCTGCATCCCGCAATTTTTTCATCGCTCTCCCGAATCCCGTTTTCGTCTCCAAATTACATACGTTAAAAAGGAATAATTGCTTTAAAAACCAATAAATGTAAGGTGTATATTGGCCCTTTTTAATTGATATTTTAAACTTACGAGTGTTTTAGTGTCATTGCAAAAAAGAAATTAATAACTTTTCATACCACAGTTTGATGAAGCGGAGGGGAAAAGGAAGAAGATATACAATAAATGTAAAGAGCCTGAGTTTAAGCACTAAATCATGTGTACTTTTCTGGCATCCGGTTGAAACAGTGGGTCTTCTGTCCGCTCGTCTGTTGATCATGATTACTTGACAGTTGCAATTAAATAATCATTACCTACCTACGTCGCTTTATAGTTTGCTTTCATACTACGAGAAACTAGTGGGCATTCGCCTGGTTGTTTCGCATTTGGCGCTAGAACGTACGACTTCCTGAATTCCCGACAGACAGGCAAGAAAATCCCGAAACCCCTGACCAAATTGTAATGAATCCCGCTTCCCGGGTATAAGTCGAATCCTGTTTCCCGCCAAGATATTTTGCGTTTTCCCGAATCCCGCACGGTATTTTGGTCACTTCCCGAATCTCAAAAATGCCTTTCCAGACCCTAAGTTATGGTGAGATTACCCGTCGTTTTAATTTGTACCTGTGGATCTTTTAATGCAGTACACACGCAGACGCTCTGAACGCGTGACGAAGCCCTAAGAACGCGAGTCTGCGTGGGAAGGTAACGTGAGATTCCGGTCGTCGCCTAATAACTCTCCACCCGAAAAGTAACGAGAAACGACTGGAAATATATGCCCTCGTTCGCAGGCTTGTATGTCTAGTTATAGTAATACCATTTAAATGAAACCTCTCCCTCTTTGGCCGTTCTCTTTGGTGGAATTTTGTACCTTAGCCACTTTTAGGACTGACAGGGATGAAATTTATGAATGATGACCCAGACACCACAGCACACAAATAATTGCAAACGATGATTTGGTAGTGTTCCCAACATGAAAAAAATCTTTCGTATTGATCGTGGGCAACGATTGACCCACTATGATCGACGTATTATTTAGGCTATGGGATGGTAACGACCCTTTTATCCACGTATTTTAGCGACAGCGCGACCATAAGCGGTCATGATAATCCAGTCTTCAATAATCCCGCAGATGTCCAAGGAAGTGTACTCACGGCAAAGTGTTGTCTGGTGAACATTATAACGGTTTCGAAGACCAAGAAAGTCATAACAAATGAAATCTTTTTTTCGTTATCACAAATTCTACACCACGCACCCAACAATGTTCGACAGTAGCGATAACTATGTATGCCGAGGCATCAAACGTCGGACCGAACACGACGATATGTTAAAACTCTTCACTCACATGGACTTTATTAACCGAGTAGATCTAACGGCCAGCACATCCTATTGTGCAAAACTATCACAAAAGAATTTGTCTAGATTAATTTGAAGCTATGTTAAGCTGAATATCCAACGTAAAATTACTCACCTTTTCCAAAAGAATCCAGGGAAATTCGATTTAATAAAACACGAGATTTCAGATAGTACGCTGCGATGAAAAAGCGGAACTGCAGAAAATGAAAGTGATCTGAAGGAATTTGCCAGCACGTGACTAATAATACAGACGGCCACGCTATTTTGGACAGTCACGCTATTTAGTACGGAACCGTGGAGTGGGGGAACTCTCTTAAAAAGGGAAGCATATGCTCGTCGGAAAATTACAATGAAACGTCTAAAGGAAACCAATCTTGGCTAGGTTCATAAAGGAGACAGAATTCAATACCTTTATAGGTACAAATATGGGCTAACCGTCCTGAACACCCTAAGTGAAACCAAAATATGCCCCCGGAGGGGTACTACCTAAAATGGCCTACGCGGGGAAAAAACTGCAATGCTGATCGTGAAATTTAACTCTGCAAAACATCAACACGACACCGAAAGAACTCAAAACAGAGCGGGACTGTAGCCATAGACAGCTGTTTCGCCCTCTTTGGGGCTCGTCAGTATGGCGTAACAACCAGAGATCGGGCTCTGATGAAAAATATCCGCGCACTCTGATTTTAGCCCTGACCCAGAACTCCTAACACTCACAGAATCACGCCATACCACGTGTCTTCTGGGGGGCAAGAGTCCAAGTGTCAAGTTGATGTCCGGCAGAGGAAATAAAGAATTGGCCAAAACCAACTATTAAAAATAACATTCACAAAACCACGCAAGGATTACAGCATATCGGATCTATAAAAGATCTACGGCCCAAAAATCATAAAGTACAAACATTAACCACAAAGGAATGCACAGGACCGCAAACGAATATGCCGAAGAACGTAGGATCTATAAAGACCTGATCAGCAAAAATAATAATGTAGACATATTAAATTCCTACGTTCTTCAGCATATTCGTTTGCGGTCCTGTGCAGTCCCTTGTGGTTAATGTTTATACGGGGAGACTCCTCCCGAAAGGGTTGCTTTTTTCAAGCTTCAGGTATATAAAAAGGGTAAGCATTTTGCTCGTTGAAGTATATGAAATGGGAGGGAAATCGTTCATTTGGTTCTGTGAAAGGGCCCAAAGGGCCGGGCAGATGAATTTTATGGCTTTATAACGACAGTCTATACATTGATTCTTGTTTAGAACTCTCTACAACAGCCACCTCCCTACAGTGGCCACGGCCACTAGAGCGCGTCTCCAACGGCCAAGATAACCTCTCGACGATGACCAGTTTTTTCAGTGACTGGTCATGAAATTTGATCCAAATGGGGTGTTGACGATTAATGGCAGCAATCATATTTTGATTGTGTTCCATTTCCTGGTCTAATTACTGCTGCAGTAAGCAACAAGTAAATTGTCTACAGTTCTTATGGCGAATATATGTTGCAAACCTTGTTGATTTTGTCACGTAAACATTTTTATTCCAAAAACATTATTCAATTCAAGTTTCAGGTGTATTTGATCCCCATATATTAAATTGATATATATGACTAGATTACCATTGTGAGATGCACTAAGCATGAACTTAGTACAATCAACATGTTATACTCCCTTAAAAAATTGTCATATTACAACCCCCCCACCTCCCCATAACGGCCACCTCTCCACAACAACCACTTTCTTGTGTCCCCGAGGTGGCCATTGTGGAGAGGTTCTGTTCAACTGTGTTGTTACCAAGTTATTATCATTAACATGTCATAATCATTGCGGACAGCAGACAGGGGCGTAGCCAGCTTTTTGACTTNATAAAATGGGAGAAGCCCGATCTCAACCAGCAGGTGAAACACATTAACCTGACTCTCTCCCTGTAAAGAACTAAGCGTCACTCATTTAACTTTGTTTTAGTACGCAATATTGACAACGCAATGTAACGAACTTTGTAAGATCGCGCGCGCTTTAAATTCAACGGCGATTTCAAAATATGTAACACTGAAGATGACGGATGTACCGTCGAAACATGTCTGGAAAATTAAAGAAAGTTGTTATGTTTATACGACTATCTATATTGTTGCTGCTATCTAGACCTTTTAAAAACATTATTCAATTCAAGTTTCAGGTGTATTTGATCCCCATATATTAAATTGATATATATGACTAGATTACCATTGTGAGATACAGTAAGCATGAACTTAGTACAATCAACATGTTATACTCCCTTAAAAAATTGTCATATTACAACCCCCCCACCTCCCCATAACGGCCACCTCTCCACAACAACCACTTTCTTGTGTCCCCGAGGTGGCCATTGTGGAGAGGTTCTGTTCAACTGTGTTGTTACCAAGTTATTATCATTAACATGTCATAATCATTGCGGACAGCAGACAGGGGCGTAGCCAGCTTTTTGACTTGTTGTAGGCCCTTTCCTAAGGTGACCCGGTAATGCCCTGGACAGATCAGATCCTCAAGACTGTTAATTGTATGCGTAAGGTTAAGGTTAAGGTTAAGGGCTTGTTTATAGTGGAAAGAGCACTTAGCTTGTCCAGCTAATTTACAGGCACTCCACTCAAATATTGGAAACAAATAATTCAAATACAACATAACAGGATTAAAAACCCCAACTGGCAGGGGGCAACCAGTTGGCTATTTACAAGGGTGGCCGAGAATTTGAACTCGGGACGACCGAGCACAAATCCAGCAAGTGGCCAGAGCGGAACTCGAACCCGGGACCGCCGGATTACGAGTCCGACGCGCTGACCACTCGGCCACGCTGCCCCCCTAGTTAGTTAGTTGAATGTGGAGTATATGTCTAAACTTCAAGTTATTGATCTCAGTACCACGATAAAAAAATCGCCTTTCTCCACCGATACAAATTAATCCGAATAGCTGAATTCGGATTGACTGTAACAAAAGGAAAAGGAAGTTATATCCTCTTGTTTTCGGATGCTGCAAAATCGTCAACGATGTCTTCCGCACTGAATGCTGCATCATGCTTGTGGATATGCATAAGAGCAAGTCCACTCAAGCGGTCTTCTTTCATCGTGGACCTTAGGTAGGTTTTAAGTATTCGCAGTGCTCTGAAAGACCTCTCTATAGTTGCTGTAGTGATTGGTAGAAAGTGCCGTAAATGTCCTGGATAAATTTGCCGGGAACTCTTGTGGGTGACAGTGAGGAAGCGTTTCAACAATTATGGCCGGAGGATCGTGCACTCCGTCCCATCGTGTTTTCCACCGCAGACATTCACTTTAGTCACTTTCCTGTTATTGTCTAATTTCTTCCGGGATGTCGGGATTCTACGCGCCCAAAACTTCTTTGAAACTGATCTTAGCTGGAGACCAGTTGCCTACATTTTTCGGCAAAAGATTTGTTATAGTAAATAGTGGACTTGGTTTGACACTACGCGAATCAAACTCCGATAGCAAATGGTCAGGGAATGGATAATACATCGTTCGTTTGTAATAATCCAGGGGCTTACCGATCCGCCGATCCGCCGATCCGCCAGAAATAATTTGTTGTCGAAGACAATATATTATCCCGTGAAACCCGCGGGTTTACCCGTTATGTATTCCAAGGAGAGCCCATGCGCCTGCGTATTACACGTGTACGCCATCATGGACTTCTTCGACGTCTCGTCTATGTTCGAAGATGTGCGGCGGATGAATAAAAGACAGGTAAAATACGCCTTTAAACACGTTTTCAATGTTCTATCTATGAAGCGTAATGCCTCTTGTACTAATACGCTGAATTTAAATTCACAGCTCTTTTACCAGGGCCTAAACTTTGCGATGATCGTTTCATCTGCGCTTATGATATGGAAAGGACTTATGGTTGTGACCGGTAGCGAAAGCCCTATAGTGGTAGTATTGAGGTAAAAGCATCCACTAATATCCTTAAAATTGAAGTCATAAATGAGGGGACTTTTCAAAGTTAACTTTTGTCACATCTGCTGATAGTTTGATTTTTGTTTATTTTTTTTGTAGCGGCAGCATGGAACCCGCGTTTCAACGAGGCGACCTATTGTTTCTGACCAATTACAAAGAAGACCCGATCCGTGTTGGTGAAATAGTCGTGTTTAAAGTTGAAGGCAGAGAAATCCCGATAGTTCATCGAGTATTGAAAATACACGAAAAGTAAGAGTTGAACATTATTAGTTTTGTTTGTCTCTAGGACAATATTAATTGTCTTATTAAACCACTTCAGTCAGTAGTTTAATACTGATCACTCAGACTTGTCCTCTGCCTGGAATGCCCTGCACCCTTGGGTAAAATTAGGGAAAGGCAAAAAAAGGATGCAACTAAGGCCATGTCCACACAGATCCGGACATCTTTGAAACCCCATATATTATATATAAAACTGCTCTGGAGAGCGGTCTCAAAATAATGTGGTTTCGGTGAGTGGATTCACTGGATTTGTCTGGACAGAGAGCTAATTCATGTAAAAAAAATATATGGTTTCAAATATACCTACAATCGGGGACAAAACTGTTGAGACATAGGGTAACTTCAGAGAACGAAAAATTCCACACCCCTCCCCTGTCCCCTCCATTCAAAGTTGGGATGTTTGTTGTTTTCTATAGGTAGCTCAAACAGGGGCACGACATTGCATGGAGGGGACGGGGGAGGAAAAGCTATATTTACCTCTTTTGAAGTCAGTAAAACATAAAAAAAGCCCAGTTTAGGGCTAAGTGTCTTAACTCATTTTGTCGCCGATTGTAGATTCATGTGGACATAGTATAAGTTGCCCAGCCAAGAAAGTGAAATTTCTGCACAGCGCTATATGTTGTTATTAGAGCGGTTTTCACTTGACTGTCGTAAAACCAAAACCAAAGTAAATACACTAGCCAACCAAAGGGCGTAGTAAAACCAAAACCAAAACCAAAACCAATCCCTTTCGACAGTCAAGTGAAAACCGCNGCTATATGTTGTTATTAGAGCGGTTTTCACTTGACTGTCGTAAAACCAAAACCAAAGTAAATACACTAGCCAACCAAAGGGCGTAGTAAAACCAAAACCAAAACCAAAACCAATCCCTTTCGACAGTCAAGTGAAAACCGCTCTATGCATGCAACACTCTCATAGTATTTTCATAAACAAACAGGGAATGTGTTTTAAGTTTTGTTCACACTGTACAAACCAGATAGCTCTTACCTCTGGCACAAAAAACATACTGGATTGGGCTTCTGTTCACATTCAAGAATGGTAATCTCAGAGCAATTTCTGTAATGGAGGGAAGTTGCGCCATGCAGATCTCCTAAGTGGAGAGTCACATACTGAATAGGTGTTCATACTATATTGGGTAGCTTTTCATGTCAGCACGAAAAGCCATCCAATATCGTGTGAACTTCACTTTGGAGTGTGAATCCGAAACTGCATAGTAATTAGGCAGGGGGCTGTAAGGAAGTTATCTGCTCATGCATATGGACAACCTAACTACCAGCAGTCCTCTTTTGTTGAGATGTTTCTTCATGATCATTTTACACAAAGCCGATTGGGGCGAGTTTCAAGACCAACACCTTTTTAACCTGGAAGAGCCATAGTAATCGCTGTTATAATTTTTAAAACTATAAATAAGGAATTAATTACCTAGCCTGTGTAGCTAGCTATTTTTTTTGGTGTGTTTTTTATTTTGTGAAACGGAAAATGATGGGGGAGGGTGTGAGGGAAGAAGGCATTGTTTTCTGTTCCTACCTCAGTTCAGCTTTGAGGTGGCTGTATCTCTTATAAATGGAAGCCATTCCAGCACTGAATGAGACAATTTATTCTGGTTTCATTTGCATAAAATATGGTATTTTCTTATCAAAGACTGTGCTTTTGCCTCCATTTTGAAAAAAAACCCTGCAAATTGGAATAGCCTCCATGGCAGGCGTTTAAAGGGGAAGGGGGAATTTGGCAAGCAGGGCACACGAGGGAGAAAGGAAAGGAACACCTGCAAGGAGACCATTGTTTTCTCCATTTTTCATGCTCAGATTCGGAGTGTGAAAAATAATAGTGATTGGTCAGAATTAATTAAATGTCAATCTTCGACGTAATACCTTTTTTCGATTGGTTGAAAACAACATCATGCCATTTGAGTAACTAAACATTTGTCGTCAGTGAAACGTGATGAGATTTCTCTACGGGAATTCATCGTTAGAAGGCATCAATTTCAGCTTGAAAGGAGAATAGAAAAAAGCAGTTAAAGAACAGTATGAAGGAAAAGGTCTGTCAGCAGATGAGTTTTACTGACTGGTCTTGAAAAGTATCATCTCCCAACTGCTTGTCGGTTTTACTTGCCAAAGAAACAAAGAAAAAATCATGCTGCCTGTGTTCTTGTTATCTGCTGTTTGACCCACGTTATCAACCGTAAGATTTTTGAAGACGAAGTGATCTATAACCCTTGGTGATTTTTGGTTGAGGTCTTCTTCTTGCTGGTCATAAAACTGCAGGAACATACTTTAATTATAATTAACTGCTGCCTTCCTGCAGGCTCTTCTTTCCCCGCTACCATCTTTCTTTTGTGTGCTCCGCTGGATCCAATTCATCCTGATAGAAATTCAAAGAGTGACAGCAAAGTGTTTTAATTTTTCTTAGACAAACATTGCATTGAAAGTTGCGAAGAGCCGCTACATTTTTTATTAAATAGTTTTCCAGCGTGATTCCTTCAGCAACAACTTGAATGGATTTATGCTGAATTTTATGTAACTCGGCACGCGTTGTTTCAACTTTCAAGGAAGATTCCTTCAATGGATGACCACATTTGAACTTTTTTTATAGTACCTTCACTAAAGATTTCTTGTTTTAGGAAAACAAAAGAAAAACAGTGTGAGAGATACGACTAGAATGACTAGAATACATGCATTGCAGCCAGACTTATTTGAGAGCTGGTCATTCACAGTGGCGTTATTTTTGTTAATTAGTAGGTGGAATGGCGAAAACAATGGCTTGCTTGCAGGCGTTCCCTTTCTCCCTCCTCTCTCGCGCACGGTCTCGTGCCCTAATTCCCTTCCCTTTCGAACGCCTGCCGCGCAGGCTAAACTTGGAAATGAGCAGTTAACAAAGACATTGAAGTATTAAATGTTAGCGTAGCAGTCTCTCTCCCATTTTCATTTTTAATCATGTTTGTTTGATTATTTTGTAGAGAAAATGGAGATATCAAGTTTTTAACAAAAGGTGACAACAACTCTGTAGATGATCGTGGTCTTTATGCTCCTGGACAACTGTGGCTACAAAGAAAAGATGTTGTAGGTAGAGCTAGAGGGTAAGTACCCTGCAGTTACATACAATGTGCATTAAGTATTGTAGTCATTTTTATTAGCAACCATTTTAGCAATGAAAAATACACATAGCACACACCTCCAACCACCTTTTTCAGGACACTTTATTGTGAGCTATTTTTCTGTGGATACATTTTATATAAGAGTGGACAGGAGTACTTGCAACAAAAAGCAGAATGATCTAAATGTATTGGCTCAGGTGGTCGGTTACAAGGTGTTAGATACCCCCAAAAAGTGGTCACAGTTGATTAGGAGAGGTGCTCATTTACAAGCGGTTCCAACTACAGTAATTATTGTAGGAATTTTGGTGATTGGGATAGGTTGTTGGAAATAGCTAAGCAAAGTCTTATCAGTTAAGCTGGGCACTGTAATAATTTTTTCCTGGTGATATAAAATATTTTTCTCCTTTTGGCAGTTTTGTCCCCTATATTGGCATGGTTACAATTATTATGAATGACTACCCAAAATTTAAGGTGAGTAAACTTGAATATCTGTGAGGGAAAGAATGTTTTTTTTTGTCTTTGTCTTAGTCACAAGTCTCTTATTTCATGAGTCAAGCTGATATTTCATTGTCAGTAACAATGTTACTCATTGAAACCCTGTTCGTTGTGTAACAAAGATTGGGAACATATGCAGTGTCTTTGTTGATTAATTGTTATGTAAACCCCTCGCAATCTCTATTCAGGGGACACCTCTATTCAAGAGACATTTGCTTCAGTCCCGAGGGTGTCCCCTGAACAGAGGTCCCACTGTACCAAAACACTCAGTGTTTGTTTGCATTTGTATTTTGAAAACACGTAGCTCACATGGCCATTCTGAGCACCCTGTTTGGTAATGTGACTTTCCTTCCCTTTTGAGAGGCAATAATACCGTTTTGCAGTTTAAAAATGCTCTTAAATTGCCAGGATGTAATATTTTTTTGAAGCAACTCCACCTCTGCTCACATTATCATCAATAAAGATTATCATCAATAAAGAGTGATCTCCATCTTTTCCAATTGATTTGCCAGGCTGGAAAGTTCCTTCCTTAACCATTCATGATCATTTCTCATTTCAACTATTGTTATTGCCTTTCTAAAAATAAGGGAAAGTCACATGACAAAACAGGGCGCTCTAAATGGTTATGTGAGCGGTTCAAAAATTCAAATCCAACCAACAATTGCTTTTTCACAGTGCTTAGCATTTAGTGATTTAGGTAGCGGCGTAATCTGGTATCAGGTGGTGCTGATAGTTGGTGGAATCCTCCAGCTTGTATCAAATTAATCACAGTTTTTCATCTGTTAAGGGAGTGCTTAAAGCATCCATTTAATAAGCAGATCTCATCATAGCATCATATCATTTTAATTTAGGTTATTATCACTCTTACTTCTTTCAATGAACTTTTAGTACAACTTAATATAATAAAAAAGGGAACATGGTCTTCAAAGTAGAATGAGCAACCAATTCATTCTACTGCAAAGACCATTTTCACTTTCATATCTTTATTTGCAGTTCAAAATGTGATTCATTACATATGTTTCAATTAATATAATAATAATATACCGTAAAATTCCAAAAATAAGCCTCGGGGCTTATATTTTTGAAAGGCCCTTTTTCGGAGGTGCTTATCTACGAGGGAAATTTGCGTCTCAAAATCAACTGGGCTAGCCTTATAGTTGGACATAAATTTACCATTGTTTTACTTTGTATTTGAGGGCAATTTTCCAATTTCAAGCTCCAGGGTGCTTATATTTGGAGGGGTGATTTAACGGAGGGTTTTTTACCTTGCGAGTTTGGGGGGCTTATATTTGGAGGGGCTTATACATGGAGGGGCTTGTTTTCGGAATTTTACGGAAATTAACCCAATTTTGGAGTGTTTCTGGGTGTTACGGAAACCATTGTTGGTTTGCTTTTGTGTTGTAGTGTGGGTTTTGTTCATTGTCTATTCAATCTTTTGTTACGTCATTTGGTGATTGGACCAATCTGCAACACCAAGAAACTACCTAATTATGGTTGTCTTTTATTTCTTTTCAGTATTTTGTTTTAGCTGCACTGGGGCTGTTTGTTCTTATACACAGGGAATGACAGACACTTAAGAGCTAAAATATTAAGGTGGCTGAACACAGTTTTGGTAGTTTGTGAGTATATCTCATTGGCCAAATCATGGCATGAGAAAGGTTGCAGCTCATAAGCTGAAACTTGGCAAGTGAAAAATATGCTGATGAAAGATTTTGATTGACAGGCCAATTGTGATGTTTTCATAGTTTCCATGGGAACATGAACGATTGAATACAACCTTAAAATTTCACTTTTGCTCAGTTTTCATAAAACTCGCTCATTAGATTTTCCTATAAACTTGCACACAGCTTACTATGATTAATCATTACCACTTGAAACTTATTGGACCAAATTTTAACAGACAGGTTTTTAGATAATCAATGATATAATTGTACTTTAATTATTAAATGTGTCACAAAATTCGTCTGTTCAACTTCCATTTTAAAGTTCTCATTATTTAACATACGATAAAAGTAAAAATTCTGCCAAATATCACAAAATTTTAATGAGTAGATTTTGAGAAATCGTCTTCTGTGTACCATTGCTTTTTTCGCCATGTTTGTTTGTCTAATTTAAAACACGCACCGTCACGCGAGTTACCGCTGACCGCCCGCAAAACTATGTTCAGCCACCTTAACCAGGATGCAAACACCCACCACCAGACTGGCTACTGACTAACATTTACACATCTTAAAAAGAACAGAAGTAACAGTGTTGTTATAGGAACCAGTTGAAAGTATCTCATTCTTATGAACTTGACTGTTTCAAAAGTCTCTTAGGATTCAAAATGTTTTTTCTTTGATTCATTTCATTAGCAACAAGATTTTTTTGAAAGGTCAAGTGGCTAATTTGTACATGTTTTCGAGTAAATATAGCAGTTTTTCAAGATTCAAGCATAGAGAAGTTTTATCTTTGACCAGTCTCTTAATAGTCTTTCTTGACTTAGTGGAAAATACCCCCATGTCCCTTCTTAAATCCTTACTCCTTATAAAGAGAAAATAAATTAAAAGAAGCTTGTGGACAGCCTACGTGCAGTTGTCATGTTTACTGTAAATCAACAGTGATAGAGTTTGCCAGAAATAAACTCAGCTTTGAATAGGTGATTTTCATGTTGACGTCATTTTACTACCACGACCAGAGTCCTTTTTCTTTCTCCTTTCGTATTCAAATTTGTTAATCCTAGCGAGATTTAAATAGCCCTAATTTGCACAATAAGGCAAAACCTTGAAGGATTCAGATCGTGGTAGTGAAATGACGTCATCGTGCAAATGGCCTCTTAATATCGTTGAACACGCGGGAACGATTAACGCAAAGCGTTAAGGAGCGAATTGCTTGTGCGGTTCTCACCCATCCCTCGATACAATAAAAACCTGCATATAAGAATCTAGTGATTTAAGAACCTACAGGCTGAAATTTGACATTTAAATACCCTGGCAAAGAAAAATAGGATCGTACACGAAAAAATCACTCCAAGTTTAATGGTCAAAATTCTGGGTTTTAATTGTGCCCGGAAACTTCCAACAAAAAGTTATATGTATATGTTTTCTTTGATTTACATTAGTTTGGATTTTCATTAGAAATATAGACGAATTAAAAATCTAAAATATCTACGTCTTTCTTCCAATGGTTACACTTCGACAACCTCTGAAAAATAAGAACCTATTAAGAACCTAATCAACCTGAATTGTGAAAAACCACCCTAAAATATAAGAACCTGTTCAGCGTGACCTAAAAAATTATAGGTTCTTATATGCGTGTTTTTACTGTTATTGGACACATACTTGGATACAGTCGGTTCGGGAGTAACGGTAAGACTGAAGTGTTTTCAAACACAGGCGGAAGAGCAAGAAAAGGACAAACAAAAGTGACTCAAACGGTGCTGTTCACCGATTGGGCACAATAATACAAAGGATTTTTTTGTGCCCAATCACGAGCCGATATTTATCGAAACATTTGGAAATTGTCTGATGAGACTCGCTACCGAAGGCCTTTTCTATCAGTGCTTGAAACTTTCATCGAGCTGTTTCTCACGACCCGACTGACGACCCTGGGCTTTTGAGGATGTAACTCGCCGACCTCTCACTTTTTCATTTAAAAATGGAGAGGTTATATGGGTGATACGAATCAGCAGTGGCCTTACGGCCGCTCGTGTCGCGAGGAATTAGGTGAACAGGAGCATCAGTAAAACCCAAACCTCTTCCCATATTTTACATGCTGTGATCTACGTCGGGAATAAGGAGCAAAAACAGAAACAGAGAAACGGCGAAATATATTTTGGAATGAATATAGTAATGTAGAGAAAGAATGTTAAGCATTTGACAGAAAAATCCGTTTGGGGTGTCCAAAGCAAATTAAAAATTACCATAATAGGTACTTTCTTTTTATAAGAGTTAAATACAAAGAAGAGGCGAATTTGTGAGGCGGAAGTCTGGAACCAATGGCAATTGGTGAATGATATGAAAGGACTGCACTGGGCTAGTCTCCGTGGCCCAGGCTACAAGCAGGTGGTACCTGGACTCCAAGATGGTAATGTGCCGCCCTCCTTTCCCGATCGCGTGAGTCCTATCGGTCCCCCACCCTGCTTTCCCTACTATCTCTTAAGAGCCTGGCACAGGCTAGACTGCGACACAGTCCTATTTTTGCGTATTCAAGTACGCGCGAACAGTCAAACCTCAATCGGGAGAGAGGCTGAAAACGGAGAGCGAGACTGGGACTTAACGCTACGCCAAACCGATTTTCAGAAAAAAAACTACAGTTTTGCAGTCTCAGAGCACAGGCAAGGCCCGGTTCAGACGCCGAACTTTTCATGAGCCGAACCTAATACCTTGAATTGAGTACATGAAAAGTTCGGCGTCAGTATCGATTAAAAACGTCTGTTTCAGTTTGGAACGGCTCAGCCGTTCTTTTCCCCTAGCCCGACCGGGAATTTCACCTTTAGAGCGAGTTTGGAACGGCTTTGATTCAGACGCCGAACTTTTTATGCACAGAACCAAACGCATGAATTATTATAACGTATTTTGTAAGCAGTTTGACCGAGATGAGCATTTTTCGCCTTTTGGACTTAGTTCAGTTGCAATTAAGATCGGCGTCTGAATCAATTCAGCCGGTCTAAATAATTTGGGTCGGCCTTAATTCGAATTAGGTACAGCTCATGAAAAGTTCGGCGTCTGAACCGGCCCTAAAGTCTACACCAAAACGTAGTGCTCAATTTCCGATTGAAATTTCCGAAAAATAACCTTACCATTCACCATCCTTCCTTCCGGAATTTTCAAAATTTTCTGCTTAATAGTAATCACTTAATCTCAGTGTCAAAATCTTTTTCTGTCGAGAGTTCAAGGTGTCTATAAGTCTATAAGCCGCTACTAAGGCTTCATCTTTCCGAGAATGGTGTTAACTGTGTTAACTGCCGAGGTAACATGAATGAAAAAAAGAAAAAAGATACAGAAGTAGAAACAGAGGGTGCGAAAAGGAAACAGCTGTCGTTGGCCCGTATTGGTATTCAAAATGAAAAAGGAATCAACGGAAGTGGTAAAAGAAACAAAAGGGAATGAACTGAAAGGCAAATGGGAATCCCATTTGGTTTGAAGTCCATATATGGTATTCCTAGCCATAAAAGGAGCCTTGCTTTCTTGTGCATGTTCCGGGAAGCGTGGTACCCGCGAGGTGTTGAGTAATTTTCTTCGATTTTCTGTTGTTTTCTTTCCTTTTAAATAGTTAAAAAAGCGTATAGGAATTCAAGAACTATAGTCGCAGCATAGCTCATTAGTCCTGAAGGTTGCGAGGGGCGAAAACGTCGAAAATTCTTCATCACAAACGTGGCGTGTTCTGCCAGGTCATTATTGAAGTCCGACAAATGGAAACCACAACGAGTGATCTAAGCGGCGAACCAAGCGAAGGAAGGTAAGCTGTTTAAGTTTATTTTCCAGATGTTGAGTAAATATATAAGAAGAGCCGACAGTGTAATTTCTGTCGTTGATACTGATTACATCGTCGGAAATTCACTCAATGAAGTTTTCAAATCAAGTTTATCGGATTACGTTCTGGGCTTACTGTATCGTACACGAATACCCGCGTAGACACGGTGAAATTTATAGACTCATTATTATTTCATGATTGGCTCATAATCTGACCGCACAAATCTTATGGAAGCTTTAAAATTACCAATTCCAAAGGGATGCATTGGATGTGATGCTGTAGCCCTTCGAAGGATATTTAATATTTCTTTAGTCTGTTACAAGTCAATGAGCTTATATCGAGGTTACCCTCGATACTATTGTTAGCTGTTCGTGGTTTGATAAAAACGTGTATCGGAATTTGTTCCGCAGGCTCTTTGAAAGATTTTTTTATTTTTATTTCATTGTTTTTTTTGTTTTTGTTTTTTGGGGGCTGTGTGCTTATTGATATGTACTTATGTATATCTGTATATATTTATGTGTCCCTGACAAATCAAATATCTCCTTTTAGAAGTGAAAGATGTGCCTTTTTCTAGAGATCACTGCAAAAGTTATTTCTATTCTTGAGAGTAGTGAGAAAAAATGGTCACAAAATGGGAGTTACCCTTTAACTACCGCATTAATGATAATTATATTAAGACATTAGAAGTTACAAATTGCCAGTCAATGGGTCTGGAAAGAGACGGCTGGATGTGTGAGTAGCCTATCATGTCTGTCACTTAAATTCAAAATTTAATGGATGCGTCATTACGAAACATTGGAAATGGCAAATGTCATTAAATACCGAACACATTGTGTGCTTTGCCTCGTCGATGCTTTGGTATTTGCCATAAAAATCAGCAGAACAGGTATTGATTGTATTTACATTGATCTTGCATTACTGATGGAATTGACAGTCATCTCTTTCACGTCAGCTGTCAATAACCATTGCTGCAGACTGGAAAGTATTCCAGTTTTCAAAAGCATACCTCCCATCTGCCAGCTTCTCTTAGCTAATACTTTTCTTTGTAAATATTTTGGGTTTTTAGGCTTAAAATGCTCCAAAACATGACTGCACACCACATCAAACAACACCTTTGCATCTGCCGTTTGAAATCTGCTCCAGGAAAATATATCTATGCTGCCTGCTTGATTTGTGCAGGCAACGATCTGATTAGTGTTAATTGACAATAGCAAGCCCATGCGTCCAGCCATCTGTTCAGGGGAGCGTCAACATGGGCTCATTTCCCGAACAGCAGCTGGTAATTGAGAATAAAATTTAATAAAAGCTTCCATTTGAGTCAAAGCAGACAACCCCATTATAAAAGCAGGTGTGTCTCTCAGGTGATGCTTTTCTAGCTGATTCTTAACTTTGATGTACTAATGAGATGTGGAAAGCTAAAATTTACATTTCTTTACAGATCATCAGTTCAGGAAAAATCCTCAGGTAATAAAACATGACTCGTTAGCATTATAAATTGGGGGGTTACTGTGTTAGTGGCACTGGAGAAGCCTAGAGGTGCCATCCTTCCCCGGTTAAAAGTGGGAAGGAAAATCCCCTTCCTGGTCCCCCCTACTTCTATGGAGGGTCCCCAATAGGGTTCTTCAATCACATCGTCATCCTGACCTAAAGTTTCTTGTAATCCCATAATCCCAATGGTTATTTTTGGCATTCTGCATTCCCTGCA